GTCCATCGTGCGCACGATTATCGTGTAGCCAGTTGAGGAAAGGTTTAACGTCCAAATTGAGACTACCTGAGCTGGAAAGATGTGATTTTCCAACGGTGCCGCTTGGGACGAAAGAGTAGACGTAATAGCCGGCGCCGCCGTTCCATCCTTCCCATAGATCGAAGGTGCGGCCACCAGCTCTGATCACATTCCAAGCGGACAGGTTTCCGATCGGATAGGAGTTGTGATCACCCCAGATCATTATCTCAAGCTCTGGTGTGTCCTTATTTGTGTCCCAGCGGAAGAAGATGTCATAGGCAAAGTCACCGCCCACGTTCTTACCCCAAGCACTGTAGCTGAACGTCACAGGGATGCTTTTGATTGATTGCACTTGACGCGGGAACAATGTGTCATGAGTGGTTGGGTTCAAGTTGTAATGCCATCCACGACAGATCGCTGAATAGCCGTACAGTCCTTTGTCATGGAAGTTGAAGCTCACCGTCATCTCTGGCGAAGTTCCTTGCCCGTACTGTGCTTTTATAACTTTATTAGGGTCGTTCCAACCATTGTTCCAAGCGTAGTAGTTCCCGTACACTTTATACTGTCCTTCTGGTGGATGCCAAGGAGGGTTAGCAGTGTTTCCACTTGCAATCACAACAGCGAAAATGATGAAGAATTTCATTTTCAAGTCTATAGTACTTTTGCCTCTTGCAGACGAAATACGAATGATTTTGCAATGAACTGGATATATCAATTCACAAAAACGAATGCGTAATACGAGTATGAATGCTGACGTACTGTGACACGCGTACGCTGTATATTCAAACATACATTCGAAATGAGTATTTATACAAATGTTTTTGTCTAGTTTTTTTTAGTCAAATACCCTTCCAAAAAATTGTTTTAAATGAAAAATATTCTTTTTCCGAACTAAATAGCAATTTTAATATTGCAAACGTTTTCGGGAATTACATTCTCTTCTTCAGGCACCACAACAAAAAAACATTGTGAACCACTTCATCGTAATTGTTCAAGTTTTTAAATATTTTTTCTTTTTTTCGCGTTTTTGGGCGGCTTTATTTATAGAACGGAATTAGTTAACTCGTAATTAGGACGAATAATGATGATCTGGCGCAAAAGCCGTCATGAATTCACCGTTTTTTTTGGATTTTTTTCGATTTTTTTCGATTTTTTTCTATTTGTTTCGATTTTTCACGATGCGATTGAACTTATTTGGGCATAGAAAGATGTTTTGCATAAAAAAATCGATTTTCTTCATCTTTTTCCGGCTTTTTTCTGATTTTTCCGAAAATTGAAAAAATGTGTTTTTTCCTTGGAGTAATCATTCGAATCGTATTGGTTTCGCTAAAATGTCATGAGAACTAACAT